GGGCTGCGCATGGGGGGCCGCTCACGGGACGGGCGGCCGCGCCGGGGGTCTGCGGTCGAGCTGGGGGAAGCAAGAGAGAAGGAAATCAGGATCCAGGTGTCCCCGCCGCACACGAATGCTTCGCGACATCCCCTCCCCGGGGACCGGGACCACCCAGCCACGTGTTTGGGGGAGAGCTGCAGCACGTCACGCCGGGCACCGCCAGCCAAAGCCCTTGTCCTGCAGGTCACCCACCTCGATTCCCTCTAGGGGCATCCTCCCCATGAGAGCTCCTCGCTTGGCCTTGACCCCTGGCGAGCACCCGAGAAGAGTGACGGGCAGGGGAGGAAAACGAGAATGGCCTGGACACCCCCCCAGACACCGCTACAGCTCAAAACCTGCCCCGGCATCACCTCCACGCCACGTCGGCACCCTGCCGTACCCCGGCGGCACCGCGCAGCCGCCTGCCACTGGATGCGACCCTCCCCAAGGTGTCCAGAGCCAGCCCAAGCTCCGCTCCCGCGCCTCCCCGCTCCAGCCAGAGCCAGGCACTCCTGGAGAGGTGAAGCCGATTTATCAGCTGAAATTAAGACGGGGTTTTCCAACACATCCCAGTGACTCAAGGCACCAGCCCGTGGATTTAACGCTCCTCGGCCACCACAATCCCGGTGGCCAGCAGCCACACCTCAAGTCCACCCCCGAGTCAGGGTTCCCCCCCACGGCTGCACCAGCGGCGTGGGGACCCCGGGGCCATCCAGCTCCCAAAGGCAAAGCCAGAGCCGGGAGATGAAGGTCGATCCGTTCAGAGGGAGAACAGGGCACACATTTCCAAGGGGAGCAAGCAACGAGCCATGGGAACGGCTGCAGAGGGCTGCGGTGAGCCCGGCCCTTCAACCACAAGCTGGCGACGGGGCAGAGGTTACGGGCAGAAGCTCTGGGGCCCTTTCCCAGGGCAGAGCAGCGGCGCGGGATGGTTTGCTCCGGCATGATCCACGGATGAACCACGGGCGATCTCCGCATCCGGACCAGGGCTCGGCGCCGGCTGACGAGGACCCTCCGTCTTGCCCATACCAAAACGGCCAAACTTTCTCCCCAGCAAAGGCTGGCGGGGCGAATAACCCCCAACCCAGCAGTTTTGCAAGGTTCATTTGTAAATCAAGCAGCCGTCCCGCAGGTCGCTGGAGCCGGGAGCTCCTCGTCCCCCTGTCCCGCGGCCGCTCCGGTGCTGGTGGAGCAACTTGGCCACTCCGGTGGGGAAGAAAGGGATTTTTTTTTTGGGTTTTTTTTTGATGGTTTGCCCAGCAGAGTGGGGAAAGCCGGTTTGGCAGCAGAAGGTGCTCAGGTGGAGAGGCTGGAAATGGATGCCTCGTCTCCAGGAGGAGAAGCGGCTTTACCCTCCCGAGCCCACGGAGACGCCGAGCAACTGCCGAGGGCTGGGAGCGAGAGCCAGACGCATGCAAACGAGGAGGAAAACTCACATTTTTAATAGCGAGGTGATTAACCATCAGAACAAACTCCCCAGGGGAGGAGAGGATTTGCCATCTCTTGACATCTTCAAGTCCAGACTGGACGGCTTCTCGGGATGATGCTGGAGCACATCACAGGTTCAAAGCAGCGAGAGCTCGGCTGGGGCTTCGGGGCGGTCAGAAAAGCCGCTGCCGCCGTCTCTCCTGCCTTTGAGTCCGTGAACCTCAAACACAAACTCTCTTTTGCATTCAAATGCTCAAAAAAATAGGTCCAAGCATTTCTAGATGAGAAAGCTTTCTTATTTCAAACAGCTCCAGGGCAAATCCTGAGAGAGGAATCCTCTCCTCCCATCCCCGGCGAGGCAGCGTGCCCCTCGG